CATCTGTGCATGTGCACCGCCTTCTGCACATGTGCAGAAGGTCGTGCATTACATCGGGGCAGGGGGGGGCGGAGCCTCCCGTAGCCACCGCTACTAGTTCGCCCAAACCAGAGAGAACCGGCTGAATACCACCTCTGATCTTGATGATAAAAAGGAATTCTCAAGAAGTGCAGGAGTAAGTATTTCTGAATTTAATTTTCTTTCAACAAAGAGATTTACCAGAAGAACTGGATAAATCCTCCTTAGGACTCCCAGGTAAGAGGGATCCTGGACAGTCTCTGCTTTAAAACAGTGGCTGAACACGGTGAAAGCACTGCTCCCTTATATCTCGGCAACAGATTCTCCACAACCTTTCAGTTTTAATTCTGCTGGGGCAGAAATTTAAGCCAATTGTGAGCAGTTAATAATGGCCTGGTTCTTTGGCCAGAAGCTCTAACAACCTATATAACAAGCTTCTATTTAGCTTGCAAATCTCTTTCAGGGATTTGATTTAATTTCCCTTTACAAACATTGGTTTCGAAAGAGGGGAGAAGTGGTTCTTGAAACCTTCAGAGGCTGACTAAGAACCCACAAAATAAACCCTCCTAATTCCACTTCTCCTGCAAGCACTAAACATCTCTCTCACTTCCCTCTTACTGCAGTTGAAATGCATCTAAGAGCTAGTTGCTAATGATCCAGTGCCAATATAAACTGAGGATGGTCCATAAATGCCACAATAATCTTTGAAATGTCTATTGTTTGCTAAAATAAAAACACGAAGAGGAATTGCATGCAATCAAGAGGAATTGCATATAATCAAATTAAAGCAGGGAGCAGAGAGAAAAATTTGCTTCAAGAGCAAATGTGTATAATACATGATACATGCTATTACAATTCTATAACAGCAGTTTTTTTTAAAAACTCAAATTTTAATGCCATCTATTTTTTTTNCTATCCACTTACTGTACTTCACACCTTGCATCAATTTGCACACATCTGTGCAAATAACATTTTGCCTGTTATAGTATTATCTTCTACAGTGTTATAAAAGAGCCACAAAGATGATTAGGGGACTGGAAACTAAAACTTATGAAGAAGGGTTGGTGGAATTGGATATGTTCTAGTTCAGTGTTTCTCAACCTTGGCAACTTGAAGTCCAGACATCTTCAAGTTGCCAAGGTTGAGAAACACTGAACTAGAACATATCCAATTCCACCAACCCTTCTTCATAAGTTTTAGTTTCCAGTCCCCTAATCATCTTTGTGGCTCTTTTATAACACTGTAGAAGATAATACTATAACAGGCAAAATGTTATTTGCACAGATGTGTGCAAATTGATGCAAGGTGTGAAGTACAGTAAGTGGATAGGATAATTTTTGTTTCTTTTTCTTGTAATGCTAGAATCAAGAGGTCATCCAAAGAGGCATTTGGAAATGCTAATTCATATAGCTCTGAACTCTGAAAGAGGATTATACAAATTCATAGAGGAAGAGGAGAGCACAATCAAATGCTACCCATCGTGATGATGGTGCTATTTCCATGCTTCAGTATATTAATGGCCAGGGAGGAACAGCAGGAGAGAACCTTGCCCCCACCTCCCAAACCGGCCTAGGATCTTCGCACAGTCATTTGGTTGGCTATATGGGAAACAGAATACTTGATTAGGTGCACCTTCAGCCTAAACCAACTGTAGGATTCCTTTTAAGTTCTCTCTTTTTTTTCCAAGTGAGGGCACTCCCAGCATTCTTGAGCCAACAAACACTTGGCTCAAGAATGCTGAAGCTTTCATTTTAGAAGTTTCAACAAGGTTGAATGTGTTAAATCCAGCGCTTGCAAGTCCAGCTCGGACTACAAACAAATCTCCCTCGTTGGCTTTATCTTCCAACAAAACCAGCCCTTGAAATTCAATTTCTTATCAGCAGAGAAAGAGATTGTGCGGATAAGGAGTTGAATTTTAACGGCTGGTTTTGTTTTTAAACATGTGGTTTGATTTGGCCCTATCCCCACATATATAATGAATGGGTTCAGCTGTTTTATGTACCTAATAGCCGTAATCGGGGCCTATCAGGAAATTTTTATGCAGGGAATTCAGACTTGCATCCTGGGAACCCAGCCAAGCCAGATGGTCTTTCTTTTCTCTAGCTTAGGAGTTCATTGCTAGCATGCCGTCTTAAAAATCTTAAAAAATGCCCTCTCGAACTGTTTTCCTTCTGCCCATTTGTTCATTCTTCCATTCCCCCCCCCCCCCGATTTGTCAGCTTGCCGTACCCAGGTTGCATTTTATGGGATTCCAGATGCTGTAAGCAAAAGGGGAGCAAGGAAGCTGAGTTGCCATCACCTTAATGAAGTGCTTAAAAGGTAGAGGGGGGGGGGGTTAGAAAGATGATCGATCTTACCTTTTCTCCTCCTCCTGCTGTTTTAAAGTGCTACAAGAGAGCCATGATTTAGCTTAAAAGAGTAGGACTGGAAGCCTCCAAGTAAATCAGAGACTATAACTCTGCCCAGCCTGTGTTCCCCCCCCCCCCCGATTTGTCAGCTTGCCGTACCCAGGTTGCATTTTATGGGATTCCAGATGCTGTAAGCAAAAGGGGAGCAAGGAAGCTGAGTTGCCATCACCTTAATGAAGTGCTTAAAAGGTAGAGGGGGGGG